GTCCTTGCACTACTTGGCGCCATCATCCACGTGCTGACGTCATCATGCAGCGCGCCAGCCTCTGACGTCAACATTAAGTAAAGATAAATATTTGTTTGTTATGAATGATGCTATTAGGGTCTTCCGTTAATAACGTCACAGAAATCGGAAGGAAGGGGGTGGTGCTGTAGAATTTTAATGACGTTGTACCACAGAGTTGGGAGGGGGGTGGGGGTAGATGTAAGAGGTGTGATGTAATTTTAGTTTTGTAGGACGATAAATTGATTAAAAATAAAAATTGTAATTGCCGTTAGTATTATGGTTATGTTTGGTGAGGTGGCGATAGAGTATCTTTCAGGCATCTCTTCGGGGGGTAGGGGGTGGGGGGGAGCGGCTAAACCACTCGAACGAAATAGAATTTATTTAGAAAATATGTACTTTTACCAGTGTTCGCCCTCTCCCAAAAATTTTGTCATCCCCCCTGAAATTTTTAAGTCCCCTCCCCCTCTCCCCCGGAGAAAAAAGTCTGAAAGAAACAGTAGTTGGGGGTAGGAGAGTGGAGTATTTTTGTCGTCCATTGGGACCAACAGTCTTCATTTGATAACTCTAGAGACTAGATGGTGAAAGGGTTACAGATCAGATTTAAAAAGGACCTCATTTATGGACGATCACTTCGATCATCGACTCTTTAAAAATAGACCGTAGTTCTTCAGAGCCCAGTTGTTGCCTTATTTATATATTAAAAATTTGTTTAAATCCGAAAAGATGAGGTCAATTATAATTTTTATCTCAGTTCAATTTGCATTTATAATATTTGTTTACTTAACTGACACCGTGGGGGTAATATTTTGAGGAATTATGTTTAATTATGCTACACTTTACCTCTAGTCACTCTTTATTAATGTCTTTAAATGCTCGATTTAATAAAAAATGTTTACCGTTGAGCAGTTTTCCGCTGGGTACATTTCCGGTCACCGTTGCGCCTGATTTCCCCCTCTCCTCTATATTGGAAAAACCCAAAAAAGTACAGACACGTAGAATAGCCTTGACATACAGTAGTGCATGTAAATCTAATAGAGATTCCTCTCTCATCTTTTCCGCCATATTAGCTTAACTTCATTGTGGAATATAAGGATCATGTTTTAAATTCTGAAACTCTTGTCAAGTAATTAGGTTTTTTCAATGAAGGTTCCATTGTATTGTGATCCACACGAAAAACATCGTCAATAAGATATATTGATGCTTCAAGGCGCTTACACTTTAGTGCGTTTTCCAAATAGGATGAGATTTAAAAATGGAACTTAATTAGTTTTTCTTCAGCTAATGGGTCTCCTATTTTTTATTATTTGTGCTGATGACACACGCACTATGATAAAACAAAAAGTAGTATTATTTCATTTTTCAAAGTATAATGCATAATGAAAACAGATTTTGTGACAATGATATGGTGAATTTACTCGATGTCATGACATTTGTCATTTAACCGCCTCTGTATCCATGGGGTTTATGTCGCGGGGGGTATTTGTTCAGGGGGTTTATGTCGGGTTTTTTTTTTTCCATGGTGTTTATGTCCAGGGGGTTTTTGACCGAGACCATGATCTCCTCTATTTCAGTTCACTGACCACATGACCTCCTTTACTTTAGGTCACTGACCACATGACCTCTTCTGTTCCAGGTCACTGACCACATGACCTTCTCTATTGAGGTCACTGACCTTATGACCTCCTCTGTTTCAGGTCACTGACCACATTCCCTGACCACATCTGCTTCCACACCGAAAGAAAATACAAAGTCCAGTCCGGCCTGATCCTCCGGACATCCTGGGCCATCTTCTGGTTCATCCTCAGCTCGGCCTACTCCGCTTACCTGGTCACCACCTTCACGGTCAAGACACCGGAACTGACCATCAAAACCATCAACCAACTCCTGGAGCATGAAGACTACACGTTCGGCATCACTGCGCACGACACGGCCTTGCAGTCCTTCATAAAGAGCTCAAGTGACGACACGTTAAGATCCTTATGGAAGAAGCTTCTAGACTTCAACAAAACAGACCCCAACGTCTTCCACCCGTCTTTGTCTGTTCACCTAGATCGTCTGCTTCACCAGAAATATGCCCTGCTCTTCCACAGCTCCTTGGATATTCTACCCATGGAATTATACCCGGATGTCCGTACCTTCCACTTGAAAGGCTTCGAGGAGATTAACCACGCCTACATTTCCACTCCCAAAAATGTCTTCTTCTCCAATGCCCTTTCCTCTCTCTTGTTGGCCATGGAAGAATCTGGGGTCCTGCCCAAAATTAGGAGTGAGTACTTATCCAAACAAAACATACCTATCCACGCGAGTAAGGTGGGTGACCTTCAGGCTGTGACCTTTCAGAGAATCAAACTTCCGGTTTATATTGCCTCAGCGTGTATAGCCCTGTGTCTCACAACTCTTCTCTTTGAAATGTTAGTGCATAAAATTAGACAGGGTGTGAAATTATTTGACTGATGTATTGAAAATCTTGTATAGATCGATCTATTGATTTCCCTACAGATTGAATCTCTCATTCTTATCAGTTCTAAATACTTGTCTTTGATATTTAAAATTCAACTAATAAAAGCGACAAATTAACTTTAGACCGTTGCAATTTGTACAAATATATCTCCAAAATGTTAACAATTTTAGTGGCGTGTGTAAACGTTACACACAGTGTTTCTTCCAGACTTTTTTCTCCGGGGGGGCACTTGAAATTTTCGGGGGGGGGGGGGGGGGAGGGTGCGGTAGACTTTCTTCGGGGGTGCGGACACTGTTAAAAGTATATATTTTCTATATAAATAGAATGGAAGATGCCTGGAAGAAACTCTGGTTACACAGATGATACAATTGAGATTTCTTTTTTAAACGTCGTGACGTTTGCAAATACAACAATGTATAAAATTGTATTAGAACCTAGTGACCTGTGCAAATACAAAAATGTTGATACTTGTATTAGGCCCTAGGACACAAGTGTGCAAGAAAAAAAATTTCATCATAAACCTAGTGACACGCACCCAGGACATGGACACAGAAGGCACTAGTACTAAAAAAATTACCCAGCAAACATCTGTGACATTAAAATAGCAGCATCACACCACGTGATCAGTGATAAGGCAGACCAAGAAAACTTCCCTATTTCCGGTCTAATTTCTGGACAGAGTTTAACCCTACACAAAGAAAAAAATTCCCTATTTCCGGTCTAATTTCTGGACAGAGTTTAACCATACACAAAGAAAAATATTCCCGATTTAACCCTCCACCCCCCACCCCCCCCCCCCAACAAACAAACCACATGCATCAGAAATGTGTGTGTAGGCCTACTGTTTTTAATATATGAATCTGTACTGGATTATTATTTTAAAGCATTCATTTTTTAAACATCACATAATAAAACTATATATAAATATATATATATATATATATATATATATATATATATATATATATATATATATATATATATATATATAAATATATATATATATATATATATATATATATATATATATATATATATATATATATATATATATATAGGCATATATATATACATATATATATATATATATATATATATATATATATATATATATATATATATATATATATATATATATATATATATATGTATATATATATATATATATAGCCAAGACATGATTGTGTGTTTCATTGAAATAAAGATCCATTAAAACTTCTCACTCTGTATCATAGTAGAATCCTACTCAACAATACGAGATAGGGAATCCCCGAATACCGACTGTTGTTTCTAAAAATAAACTCCGTATTTGTTCTTAGAGAAATGAAGAGACTATTGATCCCATACATAATATGTCTCTAATTGATTACCTGCACTTTGTTTGACACTGGCCTAATTAACCTGCCTCTCTATTAATGGACACTGCAGCCCACGGTAAAGGACAGAAAACATATCTATTTTTAGATTTTAAAAATTAAACAATGTGCTGTTTTTAAGAGCTTTTATTGGAGAGTCTGTGGTTAAGGGAGGTTTTGCTTAGTGTGTGGTTGGGTATTTTATTTTTCGTGGATTAGAGACTCTTACATAAAAAATTATAAAAACATCCGTAGTATTCTGAAGTAAAGCCGCAGTAAATTTATTTGTTGTTTCGAAATAAGGAACATAATATTTAAATTTCGAAAGTTGACCGAGTAACCTGGTAAGAATGTTTTTCAAAATCGTGGCCTTCGTGATGTGTTTCCTGCTCACCGTGACGTCAATGGATCTCCGTGACGTCACACAACGCCAAGACGAAACCCGACGTCAGAGGGACCAAAAATGGTCGGGACTGACGCAGGCAGCTGTGCAGGTTTTCGACAGGCAGTTTCTGACTGACGCGTGGCCTCTGGCAGGGGGGGTCACCCTCCTTGTGGGTCATCCATCAACATGGCGCCCGATGGTCAGTTACGAGAGGAACGTCTTGCGCCGATTCCCGGAGATGAAGGTCATGTACTGTCAGTTTCCGGACACGTCACTTCCGGCGGAAGTCAACACGACGTTGGCGAGAATAGCCAATATAAGGGAGGTAATATCTGTGGTTGTTTTTTCTTCTAACGTAACATTTTTTTCGGGACTTTTTACACTCTTGGCGTCAGAACTCGTATACAAATGGACGAATTTTTTGCATACCGCTGAATGGACAGTGGTAACTACAATACCGATTAGTACATTTTATAAGTTTAAAAAAATTGAAGTAGATTTTATGACTTTTATAACTGACGCTGGTGATAACAATATAATCGTAAGTCAAAAGTCACGAGTAGATCCGTTATATAAAGTCATGACTTTGACTGCTGTATACGGCGATAATGAAGACAAAGTTGATATAGTGGTTACCGATTTAATAGACGAACCCGAAAACAAATGTGAAATACGGAACAATTCTAATTCTAAAAAGTGCTCTATCGAAAACTGGGAAGGATATTTACGGGAATCTCCGCTTCTGTATCTACAAAACCGGAAGTCCGTTCTAGCGGATATGACACTTCCGGTGGCCATTTTGAGCGAGGACGAAGAGAAATTTCTCACCAGGTCGGTAGTGGGTAACCAGACGGTGTACGATGGTTACAGTGTAGCCCTGCTGAACACGGTAGCTGACTCTCTAGGGTTCGAGTACCAGTTCGTGTCCGTCGATGATGGCGGGTACTACGGGACGGTCTTGGACAATGGGGAGGCAACTGGAATCACGGGTAATTACGTTTCTTTTATTCTTGACTTTTATTCATCTAATTAAAATGCCAGTTAGTGTATGATAATGTAATAAAGACTAAGCCCTCTAAAATTTTCAGACACAAAGGCATAAAAAGCATTTCATGTTTCATAAAACAATTTTATTCAGAAAAAAATGTTAATAAGTTTAAAAGATAAAAATGAAACATCTAGTTTGTATCAAAACATTAAACAAATCTCAATACCATGCCTAGCCTTATTTCCCAATCCCTAGATTAATATGATGTCTTGATTATGCATTTTTATCATTTGAAAAATAATTATTTCGTATTTTTAAAGAGTCTGGTTTTATTTTTACTTTTGTAACTTTCGTAGTTTTTATAAAAGAAAGTTAAAATTTATTCTCTAACTACGAAAAAAGCACTTGCTTCAGTAATACTCTTATTTTCTGTCCACTCGAGTATATAAAGTAGAACATGGCATAAATTAAGGTATATTTTAAACGTTTAAAAGTTTTTTATTTACATTAATTTATAACTGTTGATCTTAAAATGTGTTTTAAATATTCTACCTTTCGTGCTCTCTTCGTATCTCTCTCCCTCTCTCCCCCTCTCGCTCTCTCTCTCTCTCTCTCTCATTTTTATCCCAACCCATTACCTCACTCACTCCTAGGAATCTTACTAACTTAAACTCAGCATATTTCTCTGTAACCATATTTTTATCCCGCTCTCTAAATTAAAAGCTTGATAATAGATTTTAAAAAAACAGATATTGTAATAACTGAAGGTGATTCAAATTCCCAAGGTCAACTTGCAAGAAGAGAAGCGGCCCTGTCTACAATGCCGCTAAGCAGAACGGAGAGCAGACGACAAAAGATAGACTACATCCTGACGCCTATAGCAGTGGAGGAAATCGTCATCATTTACAGGTTGGCTGTAAAGCTGTAAAGCTGCTATGATATTTGCTTTACAGATACTGTGTATAGGGATTGTAAGTCTACGGTCTCGAAATATCTACTAGCTGCATAATACGAGAACGAGAAGTTGTGACCTATTTACAAGCCCTATTGTGTCAAATACAACTGCCAACACGTAAGTCTCGAGTTCGAATCCTGGTTCAAGTCCGTAGAACGTCCACCCAGCTGTGATTGGTACCTACCTCACGTTAGGGAAAGTCAAGGCGGCTGGGCATAGTGCTGACATCTCTATCCCTTCATATGCCGAGGTCACAAAAACAAGTGAACTCTGCTTCACTTGAACCGTAACTGTCTCGTTTGAAAGGGCACTTTTTACATTACGCAAAGCGGATAGCGTGCTACGGAGAATGGTGATATAATACAATAGGGTTTGTAGATTAGAAAATATAATTTTAAAGTAAGTATTAACATAATAATAAGAGTTATTGTAAATTCCTTGTGATTCAATATCCCCCCTCTCCCCATCCCCCTAACCTATTATGGTAACGGAGCAATAATGTGTATCAGATGTAGAGCTTTAATGAGACTAACTATACCAATTAATGAAAAGTGATAATGATAGTAAAATTCAGTGCAGCAAGTTAGACACTGAGGACACACTGAAGATGCATGGTGTACATGAATTTAGAATGTATTTTTTGACATAACTTTTGGATTTCTGAACATTTAACTCTTGATTTAACTCTCGACACAGTGCGCATGCCTAAGTTCAACTAACTTTCAGACTTCCGGTGGCCAAAGAACATCTTGACCTGACCTACCTGGACATCCTACAGCCGGAGTTCTGGCTCTACCTGATTGGTCCGATGCTGGTGGTGGGCGTCATCGGTGTCGTCATTCACGTGCTGACGTCATCCTGTTACTCGTCTGGACCTCGGCCGTTTTCCAGACGTGACATAAGGTCATAATTATTAATTAACTTGGGTTCTAAATACATCTGTCTGTGTGGTTATTAAATGATTAGATACATTTAATTTTAAATTAATACTTATGCCACTAGCTGGGATTAAAAAAAAATTTTAGATTGAAATTGATGTTCAAAAAATTAAAATGGCGTTTTTATTTGTTAGATAAGTTGAGTATTACAAATAAACTTTTTTTTTCATTGAAAATTACACTGGAAAGGGCAGTAATGAATAATTAATTCTTGTTCGTGAATGTTTTTTTTTTTTTTTTTTTTTTTTTTTGTGAAGGGCTAGAAATAATGTGGGTATTAAATAAATAGAGATAAATTGATTAACTAGATGGGGGAGTTGAGTCGAGGGTTTTTTCGAAGCCGGGGTGGATTTTCCGGGGAATGGGGTTTTACGTTGTGAAGTTTATTGCCTCGACTGTTGATTGGTTAATTTTATCAACACTATTTTAAACCTGTTTCGGATCACTGACAACATGGTCTCTTCTGTTTCAGGTCATTGACCTCCTTTATTTCAGTTTACTGACCACATGACCTCCTCTGTTTTAAGTCACTGACCACATTCCCTGACCACTTGACCTTCTCTATTTAGGTCACTGACCACATGACCTCCTCTGTTTTAAGTCACTGACCATATTCCCTGACCACTTGACCTTCTCTATTTAGGTCACTGACCACATGACCTCCTCTGTTTTAGTCACTGACCACATTCCCTGACCACTTGACCTTCTCTATTTAGGTCACTGACCACATGAACTCCTCTGTTTTTAGTCACTGACCACATTCCCTGACCACTTGACCTTCTCTATTTAGGTCACTGACCACATGACCTCCTCTGTTTCAGGTCACTGACCACATTCCCTGACCACATGACCTTCTCTATTGAGGTCACTGACCTTATGATCTCCTCTGTTTCAGGTCATTGACCACATTCCCTGACCACATGACCTTCTCTATTGAGGTCACTGACCTTATGATCTCCTCTGTTTCAGGTCATTGACCACATTCCCTGACCACTTGACCTTCTCTGTTTCAGGTCACTGACCACATTCCCTGACCACATGACCTTCTCTATTGAGGTCACTGACCACATGACCCCCTCTGTTTCAGGTCACTGACCACATTTCCTGACCACATGACCTTCTCTATTTAGGTCACTGACCACATGACCTCCTCTGTTTCAGATCACTGACCACATTCCCTGACCACATGACCTTCTCTATTTAGGTCACTGACCACATGACCTCCTCTGTTTCAGGTCACTGACCACATTCCCTGACCACATGACCTTCTCTATTTAGGTCACTGACCACATTCCCTGACCACATGACCTTCTCTATTTAGGTCACTAACTACATGACCTCCTCTGTTTCAGATCACTGACCACATTCCCTGACCACATCTGCTTCCACACCGAAAGAAAATACAAAGTCCAGTCCGGCCTGATCCTCCGGACATCCTGGGCCATCTTCTGGTTCATCCTCAGCTCGGCCTACTCGGCTTACCTGGTCACCACCTTCACGGTCAAGACACCGGAACTGACCATCAAAACCTTCAAACAGCTCCTGGACCACCCTGACTACACCTTCGGCATGATGCAGCGCGATACGTCTCTTCTAAACGCTCTACGGACTTCAAAAGACCCAATTCTTCATTCAATATGGTCACGGATGGTTGAACGCAATAAAACAGACCCGCGGACGTTCAGCGTGTCGTACCAGTACCACACAGACAGAGTTCTACGCGGGCATTACGCTTTCTTCATTGACACCTCCATTGATGTTTTCCCCCGAGAGTCATACCCAGATGTCAGGACTTACCCGCAAAAAGGTTTTGAAGAATTGAACAATGCGTATATTTCAACTCCACAGAACACGTTTTACGCCGAAGACTTATCGAAGACGCTTCTGTCTATGGAAGAGACGGGCATCATTGAGAAACTGCAGAAGGTGTATTTTTCTAGAGAGAAAGTCCTTCACGACAAGAGCAAAGTCAGCGAGAACCAGGCCGTGACCTTTCAGAGGGTTTGAACTTCCGGTTTATTTTTGCTGCGGCGGGCGTAGTTTTGGGCGTACTAATTTTAATTTTTGAGATCGCAGTGTATAAGTGTACTCACTATGTGTATGATGTCAATTAACACTGAATTGGTCGTTCCTATACAGTACCACACTGAGTTCAAAGTAGGCATATGTCATCTTTTCCCGTTTGTGCCCAAAAATAACATTGGGACAGATGCAGTAGAGTTTTCAGTTACAATGACCTCAGCATAATGTAGTCAGCACTATGCCCAACCACCTTTTATCCCTAACGTGAGATAGGTACCCATCAGAGCTGGGTAGACTCAGGCACGTTCTATTGACATGAACCAGGATTTGAACTCAAGACTCTTAGGTTAGTAGTCTAGCGCCGACTAGCTTATTGTATACACAATCATATACGCTTTGTATGTTTTATTTTAAGAGTAGTTAGTCCTTATGTTTTACATTCAACACAGATAAGTTTATCTAAATGTAAACTATTTGAATTATTTATAAACAAACGACAATGTTATTCCATTTAATAATGTACACAGTTTGTTAATAGATTTAAAAATTTTAAAAAGTTAATCAGGTGCAACATTTGTCTACATAACTTTCATGTATTAAAAAAACGTAAATTTGGGACAGACTC